CTGGCTCCTAATTTGAGCTCTGGCACAGCACTGAAGGGCTGCCTTTGTCTGGGATTAATGCGGAAAGCTCAGGATGCAATGTCAGAGGGAAATAATCAGCATGGGCCCTTCATAACGTTGGCTGCTTGTGCTCCTGGCCAGGGCCCCCGGCTCATTTCTGTGGAGATGAAATCTATGACAAGCCCCTCAGTGAAGCTAAGAGCAGGCAACAGTCCAGTAACACCCACAGGCCTCCAGGCATCCTGTGACCCCCTTAGAAAAGTCACATTCACTTTGCTCTGGAGAAGGGAAAGAGAACGCTGCGGGCGCTTCCAGCCCATGTGAAATGAAGAAATGTGAGGAGGTGAAAACGAAGTGAAAATAAGTTAAGATTCCTCGTCCGCCCCCACTGCAATCACTCCAGAGGAGGGGCACACTGCGACTTCAATTCATTATGCCCCTATAATTAAACATGAACAGGACATTAAACAAAGGGATTAAAAGAGTTAAAGAAAAAAAGAGAAGTACTCCAGCTTAATATATATTCATGTTTATGTTGTGTAACTGCATTTGGGAGAGCAGTTTGAGGAAGCAGCTTTTCTTTTTTTTTTCAATGCGGCAGAAGGTCGCAGGCTAATACCCATCAGGGTAAAACATTCTGAAAGAGGTTGGCACTGAACTCAAGGACCAGAAGTAATGCTTTTATTTTGTTATTTATGCTTTTTTACCGAGTGCATTACTATGCTCCTCTGCAGCATATTGCTGCTTAGCGAAGGATGTGAAGATGCAACTCGATAAGCAGGTTATTAAAATGACCAATTGACATTCAAAATTCAGCCTTATTTTTGATTCATCATATTTACGGATGAATATGTGGAATTTAAAATGTTTTCCTCTGCTGCCTAGAGGGAAATGTGACTTGGTACAGAAAGTGTGCATGACTTCATGTATAACCCTCTGCTGAGAAAATATGATACTCAAATCACTGCTGGGTCCTCAAACAGAACACATTCTTTTATATGAACACAGTTCAGCTTAGTAAGAAACAGACCAGGCAGGTCACATAATACGTCACCATGTTCCTACTATCTTTGTCTCATTCAAATGACATAATCACAAGTGGATTATTTGACAGATTTGTAAACCTGGTTTTTGCTTAACTGATGAAACATAAAGAGGATGTGTGGTATCAAGAATGCAATGCCTCAAAAATGAATCCAAGGGGAGAACCATCCAAAAAACAAACCCACCTCCTGCTGCCCCCCAGAAAGGCTCATGACTCCAATCCTAGATTTAAAACGTGCTCATCTTCATCAACTTTGTATGAGGTGATACTAATAATACAAGTACACACAGTCAACTCAGTGTCAGCGGGAAAAAGAATGCCAACATGTTAATGTAATCCCAAAAATGCACATATTGCACAAGTAACGTTTTAAAGTCAAAGCCAAGACATCTGCTTCTTCTCTTATGAGTTTTTAAAACTAATAGTTACAGTAAGATGTAATAATACCCCAACAAGGTCTTGTTAATGAGCTCGACCACAGATTGTGACTTCTCTATTTTTCTTCGGTCGTTCTCATGTATGAAGTCCAGTGGACTCGGTGTGATCTATGGGTGTGATTCACGGGTGAAGTTACAACATTGTTGCATTTTTCATGAGGTTTGGTTTGCCTTCACACTGCTCTTTGTCAAGTGCACAAAAGCCTGTTGTTAGCAATGCTAATGTTAGCCACTTTCGGCAAACCCATTTGCCATTTCCCGTTTATTCTAAAATATCCGGCCAAAACCCACAATGCACTGCTGTTTGGTTCACGTCCCTCGTTTGGTTCCAATCGCTTTCTCACCTACAGCAAACCAAACTCTGGTGCACCTGCAAGTGAACCAAGTGAACCAAGCTCTGGTCCGTTTTAAAGCGGTTCTTTGGTCTTCACCAGAGACAGTTTGAGAATTCACACCACCCCACACTAAATGAACTATCAGTGACAAAGCACACTAGAGTTTGTTTCAAACAGACCAAACAGCTCTGGTGTGAATGCTTACTTAGAAGCAACAGAGCAGGTTATTCCACCCACTATTTCCTTTCTTACACTTTGCTGACCTCTCATATTGCTTGTTCTGCGCTCTAAATGTTTGCTTGAATGGAAGTATTTCAATTACTGTGCTAATCATTAGCTTTTGTCTTTAATGATAAACTATTGGTATATTCATTCGTGGCTTTGTTTTTGTATTTCAAGTCATTCTCACACATTCTCGGAAAACACACCAAAAAAAAAAAAAAATTTAAAAACACAACATTTCTCTGAAAGAACAAATTACAGAAAAAAAGATATCTAAACACAGAACATTTAACTAAAAACCACATCCAATACTTTTCTGACCTTCCTGCAATCTGAATTTTTTTGTTTTGTTTCTTGGAGTTGTCCTGTGTTTTCTCCCTCAGCGCCTCCGCTGTGTAGTGATAGTCCAGTAATCTGATAATTAAATATACGTCTCAGTGTGCTTTAAATAAACTTCTCTATCCTACTCTTACTTTGTATAGACAAAACGACACATGTTCATGTAGGAAAAGATTTGTATCCTCTCACTCTGTTCATCTCAGTGAGAATCAGAGCCCACAATATGTCAAACTGTCAGTGTTTCCTACATGACGACCGAAGAGGCAGCCAAAGAGAAAACTATTAGAGAGGTCAGGGTCAAACTCCCGAGGGGACATTTATTTGTATTTCCAATCTGCATCTGTATGTCTTTTTATGCATTCTGACATCTCGACTTAATTTCAAACGTATTATATAACATGAAACCACTAATCACTTAAAGCATGCAGCGCCTTCTTTCAAACCAGTGTAAAAACGTTTCTGGTTGACCAAAGAGGTTTTTTTTGTGTGTGTTGGAAGCTCCCCTTAAAAAAATAATGATCTGTAGAAAGGAAGAACTTAAAAGTAGACCGCTACATGATCCCTTCCTCCAACAAAAGAAGCAGCTTGTTAATCAACCAGCAGTGACTGAAAGGTACAGAGTGTGTGACAGTATAGATTGATTTTTTTAAGGAAGCGGACAGTGTTGCATTGAACATTGGTTTTGCTGTTAGAGTGACCATGATGGGATGATGTTAGGGATATGTGATGTCATCTTCAAGGCAGATAAAACAAACTAGAACTTTTTTAATCTGAACCAGGCCCAATAAAAATGACAGCAGTCATATATCACAGATACAGGTTTAGTGGTATTGTGCTATTCTTACGTATCAAACGATCTGATTGTGCTCGGTATGAGCTATATTATAACTGTCCGTCTGCATGTTAGGCAGCGAGAAAATCCAAACTGTGCCTGACTACAGTCTCCATCTTCAACACCACAGCACTGAACAACATGGATTTATTGATCCAGGAGTAACGCTGGTGAATGCACTTGTGTTGATAAAAATACAATCTTACAACCACCGATTGTTCAATTCCTGAAAACCTTGACTTACAGACACATACGACGTTTGTATATTTTTTGGGGAAAGTGAGTAATGTACAACCTCAAATCACCGCATGGTAATCAGATTCAGGAGAACATCATGTATTTCAAACAAAAACCTGTCTGCCTCAGGAGTCAAAACTATTTGACCAGCAGCTCAAATTGGAAACAACAGCTTTACCTGAAGTTATGGACTCCCATTTCATATTCTCTGTTTTGCAGATAATTATTCAGTGACTCATGCTTTGCATATTTAGCAAACCTTCCTATTTGAACTTGGACATTCAGAGATGACAGAAAACATGAAAATTACCATGAAAGCTGTTTCAACACTCACAGAAATTATTGTATGCAAATATGAGCAACACTTCACTTTGGGTTTCTTCATAAAATGTTCTGGTTGGTGAGTTGTCATTATATTAACTTATACAGTATTATCTGTTGGTAAGAAAGAGAGATGTATTTAAAATGAAGATCAAGTTCTGATGAACAGACTGTCCAGTGGAGTAACGTGTCCCTTAAGGGTTACCATAGGTGTGTATGAGGAATAAAGCTAAAGCTGTGGCTGGACGAGTTATACCTCTGTGTACCGTCCATTATTTTCTCATTAAGTTCACCAAGTCTGGCAAACTCTGAAAGCTCTGTTACATCGTTGGAAGCCATGGTTCTTTTCTGCTGGCTGGTTAGAGGTTGTTTTTGCCACGCCGCCATCATTCGTGCAGCTTAGCTTCACCGGAATAGCCAGTTGGCTAACTTATTGACATGGCTACATATTTGTGAACATGTGGTGCGGAGATAAAGATCCTTCTTAACCCGGCACAAGGACAGTGGAGTGTCATGAACATTTTTGAATGGCTGTTATTATTATGTGGCACATTTTTTGTTTCAGTAGCTTTATTTTTGTACTGTTAACGGCGACACAGGGACAGTTCTAGATGAGGGGAAGACGTATTTAACAGATTGTCCTGTATTTGCTTTTTTAGAGAAATGTGTCCCTTGAGAGTTACCATAGGCTGCGGTAAAGCTGTTGTTGTTGTTGCTGTTATCCATCTCATTGTGTACATGTGTATGATGGATGCAGCTGAAGCCGTGGCTGAAAAGGTTCTTCATCCATGTCATGTTCTTTAGTTTCTTTTTAGGTATATCCAGTTCGATGAAAACAGAAAGCTTGATTACATTTACAAATGCAAACAAATCATTTGCTCACCTTGTAGCCTTTTTTGGGATCCCTTTATATCAAAGTTTGGGAACAATGATTGGCTTTGAAATTATGCTTTTTTTTTGTAGCTGAGCAGACTTGAAACATCTCCCTTTGCAAGCCCCGTATCCACGATCTGTTCTATTTTCACTGTTATCAATGTATCACATGCATTAGAAACTTCTGGGATGGTGATTACTTTTTTAGGTATAATTCTATTCCTCAGGTGATGCCAGTAAAACTTGAGAGAGACGAATGGTCTTATATTTCATTTTTATGGCAAGAGATTATGATATAAGCAGGATAGTGGTCAAAATATTTCACAACATTAAAGTCTACATGTGAGTCTAGTTCCTACCTCGGTCCCTGATGGGGTGGCTCCTGGTGAATCCATTTTACGTTTTTTCCGGGGTCCGATGGCGGCTAGTGCTGTAAGGTTGGCGTCTCGTTGCCTCATCTGAGCCAGTTCCTGTTGTTGCATCTGGTGAAAAGAACACAAGAGTTTAGAATATAACAGCAACCATGACACAGTATCATGTGGTGTAGTCATACTTATTACATTCAACTCTTTGGGTGATTATGTTCAAAATATCAATGAAGTGCATGTAATGAGTTTAACTAAATAATTGACTTTTTTGATCAATATTTACGACCTTCCATGTATCTTTCAATCTGTACGATGTCCTGTGGCTTTGAAAGTAAGGATGCCTGAAACAGAAATATTACATACTGTATATTCCCACCATAGACAGTTGAGAGTGAATGTGCCTGGTTGTTCATGACTCCATATATTAGCCCTCAGATTGTCTTGAAACTGTCCAGGGTGCACCCCGCCTCTTATCAAATTTAATTTCAAACATTTATTTATTCTCGAAAAGACACTGAGGTTTCCCTCATTTCCAATGTCGCAAATGACAGTTAGATTCATGAAAAGCCCCTTGTGACCCAAAATGGGACAATAACTCGTAGCAACATGAACGACCCAAAAAAAAAATATTTTAGATTTTTTTATTCACAACCAAATGGTGACATTTGAGTGCTGTTATACCTTATATATGGATGATAATACAGAAATGTGGTGGGATGTAATGAAGAAAGATCACATCTTGGTCCTCTGATCTGTCCATTCATGGATTGTACAAGCCTTCCTATGCCAAACAAAATGGAAGCCAGTTGTCAGCCATTAACAGAGCTTTCGTCAAAGACCAAGTCTGTGTGGTGTGTGTTTGTGCAGTCACATGGTCTCATTGTGATTTTTGCAGTTTGTGATGTAAAAGGGGGAGGTTGTGTGGAGGCACTGCCCGAGGTAATGTCATGTCTAGCTGCAGGGCAGAAGGGTAACCCAGCGTCGCTGGGAGCTGCCCTTTCTATTGGGTGGATGTGTGAGGGCCTGGGGCCATGGCACAGAGGGTGTCAGCACTCTCTCTAACATGTAAACACACCCACACCCACACCCACACCCACACACCCACACCCACACACACACACACACACACACACACAACACACACACACACACCACACACGCACGCACACACACACGCACACACTCACATGCCTATCAATCTTGGCCACAGCACAGGGAATGCCTACCCACCAGCTTGCCTGCGTGCCTGCCCGCTGGGGGAGAGAGGCCCGGGTTGAAGCGAACAGGGACAATCAATGTGCGCTTTCATGTCTTTCATGTTCTTTTATGTTATCTCTCAGCATGCGTTTGCTGGGCGCTGGTGTTTGTGCGAGGCATGTATGTTGTCTGATCGAGGGAAAATTTCATGTTACTTTCAGCAGGCGCTCTTTAAAAGGTTGCTTTGGTGTATAAAGTCTGATCTAAAATGTGCATGCAGTTCCCTCTGATTTTTTCCCTAAAAGCCCCGATGGCAAGGCATGCCCTTTAGGGTGTTGCCACTTCACATTTAGCACAGCGGAACTGTTGAAAGATTCAAACACGCTGACAACACAGAGCAGGGGAAGTAATAACAGTTGGAGCAAGCAGCTGAATGTCAAAAGCACATTTTTTTGTCCATTTTTCAAATGAATGCTGTGAAAATATATATTTAGTAATTAAAACATTAACCAGAAAACATTAGTATAGAAATGATTCCAGCAACGTCAGGTTAAAAATCATAGATCCTAATTCTTAAATTGGACTAGTGGTGTATAAATGGGTGAACTGGGGATCTTTTCTGGATGTAGTAAATATGAAGATGATTTCTGCCCCTGTCTACATGATAAATGTAGCATTCATGTTATCAATGCTAACCTTATTAGGCTTTGCAACAAACAACACATAAATCTCTTCAGGCGTGACCTTAAAGAATCCCTCAGCAAAAAAGAAAATCTGGGAGAGAGCAATAGAGAGAGAGGTCCGCTATCTCGCTGATGGCACCAGGATGCCGGCATCACTGCCTGGCAGTTGGCACCAGGCATGGGCTCCCATTGCCCACAGCAACTGCCTGCATTTTCAGATTTATGACTGTATGATAAATGAAGACTTCATTTGACCATCTGCATCCCTCCAGTCTGCGTTTCCCATCAGTACAGAGGCCGCCATGACACAGGGAGACTGATTTCAATCTGGTGCCACTGTGCCGACTGTACCTCCCTTTATTGAGCATGCAAAGACACAAGCTAGAGTTGGACCAGGCTTTTTCTATCCAGAGTTGTTTTAGCTAACATTTAATTCAAACATTAACATCTACGGACACAGGTGATCAGAAACATGGCGTCGAAGGCCAATAAAGTTTCAGTCCTCAGATCGTCTTCAACTGTCCTCAACTGCTCGGGGGTAGTTGACATGAGGTCATGAAGGAGTGGTAATATTCACTGGTGACTTTTCTCTCTCTTTTCATTTGAGATGTTAAGCAGATATCTTTTTAAGAACGGTATAATCACCTTTGTATGTGATGTTCACTTAACATTTGGCCTACCTGTTACAGATTCTGATACCTGGACATGAGTGCTACCAACCAATACCAAGTATACCTCTGACAACAGCTGGATTAAAACATATATTGTGTATATATATATAAATATATATATATATATATATAGACGTATTGTTTTATGGGAAAAGACTGATTTCTAACATTTTGCTTGCTTTGACTAATTTTCTCTTCCCTAGCTTGCATTTGTGTCTTCTTGACGTTAACACCATGTTTCACTTGAAACCTGCTGTTTTTTATGTGTGACAATAGCTGATGGTATCTGATCAGTGCACTGGCTGACATTCTTGCTGAGACCTGATACCATATATTTTAAGCATTATTGGCACAGTTATAACCTCTGTCTTTGAGTGTAACATGCTGTAAGTATATCTGAAATTTGATTGTTTTGATAGTTAATGATTAGGCAGTGTCAGACACTAATCCATCTTTTTAACAAAGAATCCAAAGTGTCAGGGCGCCGGTGATCTCGTGGTTGGAGCCCGGTCCCATGTACATAGGCTGTTAGTCCTCCATTTGGGCGGTCCAGGTTCAGAGCTGACCTGTGGCTCCTTTCCCGCATGTCATTCCTCACTCTCTCTCTCTCTCTCCTTGATTTCTGGCTCTATCCACTGTCTTATCTAAAGGCCAAAAAAAGCCCAAAAATAAACCTTAAAAAAAGTGTGATGTACAATAAAGAACTGCCCTCTCTACCTCTTGGATTAACCTGTTGGCAACGTTAAGCCTTAGGTACAGTCACAGGCAGAAACTACAAAGGTCACTACAGAGATTCATCCCAGACTGGAAGAATAAGCAGCTGGCAGAATGCATACATTTGCCAGCTCCAATCAATGGTACCACATAAATATCTGTTGTTCCAGAGCCACGTAAATACCAGTGCTTCCAGTCTGCCTGTATGCCCTTTTAAAGCAGGGGACTAGAACTTGTAAAGTCAAATTATTGGCAAAGGTCAGGAGATGTAGAACAATTTCAAGATACCAAGCAGAATCAATCTACAGCTTTGTTAGAAAGAGGTTTCAGTCTCGATACGAAAAGCACAATGTCGAGGGATGATGTCGAGGTTAACGCAGAAAATGGGAACGTTTACATTTCAGGGGGAAACTCTTGTCGCAGTTGCATAAATCTCTCTTTAAAAAAAAAAGTTAAAAGCTCTAGTTGATGCATGTCAGTGAATAAAACGTAGGCATGCGCTTTAAATCAAAACACTGATGCAGTCAATCTGATACTGGTCAGATAGCAGCTCATATTCATCAAGGCTGACATAAAACATTTGAGGGCTGCTAGAAGGACCTTTAGGTTCGGCTTCAGCACACATTTGTTTTCATTATATTATGTACAATTCATTTTGATTACATAACCTCTCTTATCATGTACACACACTAACTAAAATGCATGCACCAACTTTAAAGCACTTACAATGAACAATAAGTCAATAAAGTGACTTGATTTGAAATGACCTTTTACTGGAGATGTAACCGATCCATTTGAGCAGGAAAGTTTTTCAAACAAGGCACAGCATACCCTTTGTGTTAACTGATCAAAATCTGTTTTTTCTGTTAACAATCAGTTGATTAGAACAACACCTTTAAACTTGGCTAGTGGTAACATTTCTTTGTGCAGTTTAAGTAAATTAAGGCAAAACAAAATGATTTTAATGTGAGGTGTTATTTGCTTACTTGTTAACTAGCCAAAAGCAAAACAGCTAGCATGCAGTACCCTGCTTGTCCTCTGACAATGTTTGTGGTGGATTAAGGGTCAAAAGGTCAGTAACCAATAATTGAGAGCTTACAGAGCATGAAAAAAACTCTTTTCTAATGCATGGCTGATCGTAGTCTAAGTTAGCAAAGACTTTTTTAGCACTGTGTCCATCACCGAAAACCCGAAAAGTCCCATGGGATGACAACAAACATACATACAAACAACCTCATTACAAAAATGAAAACATTACATTAACATTTGGTTTTTGTTGATTTGTTGCATTGTTACATCAAATTTAGGATTCGTTTAAATGTTTCTGCAAATTATTAGCTTTGACAATTGTATTACCTTAAATAGCTTAAGTCATTTTCCTCACCTAATGCAGTACAAGGTCAACTTCCAATGTGATGCTTGCCCCACCCACCTATGTGACATCAATCCAATAAGGTCATGTCCTTTTGATAAAGTAGTATCACAGGTAGGGCTATGGGAAAATAAATGTTTAATTTTCATGTATCAGGTGAGAAAATAAACCCTGTATTGTCCTACTGTCCCAATCCACCTTATGCCCCACCCACCCTGAATTCACCCGAAATATGAAAGTGGTCAACTCTAAGTGTTTTCTACAAATATCCTTGTTATGTGCGTATTAATAATGATAAAGGTTCTTTGTGACAAACATCAGGTTCTATAACTTCCATCATTTGCGTATTCAAATGATGACTCAATCAGTGGTCCGTGCAGTTTTTTTGTTTTATACTAACATGCTTTGTTAAGAAAAACAATAAAACGTGCATGATTTGGTCATAAGTGAAAATATGAGTGAATTTTGTCTGTCTCA